CTAGAAAGAGAGGGAGTTGGAATAACCCTCTAAAGTTCCCACCTAGAGCTGGCCAGGGCAGATCTGCTCAAGCTCCAGCATGCTACAACATAGCTGTGAAGAACACACCAAGTTATACAGAAGCAAAATGTTCACTTCTGCTACAGAGCCAATAATCATATCACTGATTTTCTTTATTTTATTTTATTTTTTAATTTATTTGACAGGTAGAGTTATAAACAGTGAGAGAGACAGAAAGGTCTTCCTTCCATTGGTTCACTCCACAAATGGCCGCTACAGCTGGCACTGTGCCGATCCAAAGCCAGGAGCCTGGTGCTTCCTCCTGGTCTCCCGTGTGGGTGCAGGGGCCCAAGCACTTGGGCCATCCTCCACTGCCCTCCTGGGCCACAGCAGAGAGCTGGACTAGAAAGGAGCAACCAGGACTAGAACCCGGTGCCCATATGGGTGCCAGTGTCACAGGCAGAGATTAACCAAGTGAGCCATGGCGCCAGCCCCAGATCACTGGTTTTTTTTTTTTAATGTGTAAAGCATCTGCCATCAGTCCTTGGGAAAACATTTTTCATTCATTTCACTGAAATAAGTGTGCCAGGAGCAAGAGACAAGTGGGAGAGCCATATATATTTTCCTCCAAGAAGTGCCCTTGGAGGTGGTCACCTGTGGATGTGATGCCTGACTATAGCCTCTCAGCCAGGGCTCTCTCAGACTAGCACACTTCATCTCCACAGACCCAAAAAGTGGATTCCTTTATGTCCAGTGTAGCCTAGAAAGCTCCCCATGGTTGACTCTCGTTTTTCTGCTCTGGAGGAGCAGGGACTGGATCCAGCTCCACAAGGGAGACTGAATACTGCCATTGACTTGTGGGTACATTTATGCAGTCTTCATTATATCTTGCCTTTGTGCTAAGGATGCTAAGGTTCTCCTTTATATTTGTTTAACATAGAGAACACAGAACGTGGGCAATGGCTCACAGATAGAAACATGATTATGCCCTGGTCCTGTCCCCTCCCTTCCACAGACTGAACATTATTGTTCCTTCCTGGGACACCCCCTTCTGCTGCCCCACCCTCTATCCCTGCCTAACTCTTGCTATTTCGCCTTTCATTTCAGTGTCATTGTCTCTCAGAATTTTTTCTGACTGATTGTTTGAACCCCACTTTCTGAAATACTGTGATTCCTATTTATAGTAGCTCATCATTGATATAACACTTGTTCTCAACCAGATACTGCTTCCATTGCTTTACATATGGTAACTGATTTATGTAGAGTGTTGTTGGCTGAGAAATAATAGGCTCAGAGAGAGTAAGAGATTGAGATCGCACAGCTAGTAAAAGGCAAAGGCTAGTTTAGAATCCAGAATTCTTGTTCCAGAATCTGCGAAAGATGCAGTATATTTGGGACAACATTTTCTGATGTGTGTTTGGGGATGCAAAAATAAAACCAAAATTCTATAGTTAACTGTATATTAGACCTACATACTGAGGGCAACTGGTCTGTACTTCCATGGGGACATCCCCTTCCTTCCTCGATATCACACTCTACCTGTGTTTCTAGGACTTTCTCTCACTACAAGTTTGAATTTGCTTCAGAACCACATGTCTAGTAGCAAATGTATGGGCACTTTAGGTTGGACAGTGTACTTAATCTCAAGGATATCAGGGAGCGCTAGAGCTTTCTTGGTAGTTAAAAGTCTAAGATTCATTTTCTTTCATGATTAAATCTGTGTTAGTTAAGGATCTTTTCTGGAATGGTAGCCCAGTGTGACAGAAAGATATTTAAGAAAATCTGTAACAGTGATGGAACTGATAATTAATGATGCTTTTCAGGAAAATCTCCGATCAGGTGATTATTTTTCTTTAAGCTTGACTCTGACACTCCAAAGTTAGATCCTCATAGTCAGGCCAGGTCTGAAGTTTTGCCCTGGATAGGTTACATCCACCCTTTCTAAGCCCAGGTATATCAGACCTCACACTGTCCATGTTACAAGATGCTGTGCCTTCCTGGATACTGGATTTCCCAAAACCCTATCCATCTATAAGCCTTCTTACCAGCCTCACAGTGCCTCTTTACAGTGGACTGTCTCAGGAACTCACACATAATTCTGTGCCTGCAGGGAACTTCCCAACACAGATGTCCAGGAGCAAAGCTATTTAAAATCACCTGCTTGAGAACAGGAACTGAACCTTTGTACAGCAATGGAGAGCACTGCAATCAAGTAGGGGCTCTAAGGGAAAGAAACATGTTGTGAAAGTGTCCAAGGGGTAAGGATTGTCGGGGTATCTTTGACAGCCAGGTCCTGATTCAATCACTGAGGGTATGTCAAGGTAGATGTGGAGCAGCTGATTGGGAAAAATGCCTTGTGAACTCTTTGCCACAGCCCCTGTCTGACATTGTCCTTTCAGACTCCATCCCAGGATACCTGCTGTTCTCTCCAAGAGGCCCTCGCCATGGGTTTCAAAGGAGGTGAGAATTATCTGCCAGGACTCAGCAGGAGAATCCAGTGCCTAAGACATCATCCCAAGGGAATGCTAGAGAAGATGGTGAGAGTTCCCAGGTCCCAAGAGCTGCTCATGAGCCAGACCCTGCAATTTCTTCAAGACAGAGGGGCTGTCCCTCGGAGCCATCTGTACAGTTCTCTTCACCTCTTTTCCTCATCCAGGGCTACTGCTATTCCCCTGTGTGATGAAGCCAGCACAGCGCTGGGGACGTCATCCAGGAAAGCCAGGGCTACAAAAGGAGGACGCACAGAGCATGGGAGCCATGTGAGTACTAACTGCTCCAAGTGATGGAGTCAGCATGGTGCACACAAGTAGATGCCTTGGGTCAGGCCCTGGTGAACTGTGCCATAATTCTGGGTATTGTGACAAGAGAGCTCTTAATTAGGCAAGCCATGTCACTCACATAACAAGGCGGTGTGCCTCTTGCTGACACTGTGATGCTACTGCGTAGTGAATCCTCATGCTTGAACAACACCCCTGAGTAGCAGATCTTCTCACTTGATTGTCTTTGCTTTGGTTACAGAAAGACTAAGATCTCAAAATCCAGCATACTTTAACAAGTGGGCAGGACTTTCTGTTATAATGTGGAGGTATACTTGTTTTTTCCACATCCTCACTAGCATTTACTGTTTTTTGATTTATATGAGAGCCATTCTAAGAGGGCTGAGGTGAAACCTCATTGTGGCTTTGATTTGTACTTTCCTGATGGCTGGTGGTGATCCTAAACATTTTTTCATGTGTCTGCTGGCCATCGAAATTTCTTCTCTTCTTTCTTTAAAGAAAGATTTTTATTTTATTATTTGAGAGACAGAGTTACAAAGAGAGGGAGGGAGGGAGGGAGAGAGAGAGAGAGACTTCTTCCATCTGCTGGTTCACTCCCCAAATGGCTGCAATGGCCAGAGTTGAGCTGAACCAAAGTTGAAGCACCCTGCATACCAGGCATAAATCCTGCTTTCTCTGAATGAATGATCTTTCTGATATGTTGCTGGTTTGATTAGGTAGTATTTGTTGAGGATTTTGCATCTATGTAAATCAGGTTATTGGTCTAAAGTTCTCTTTCTCTGTTGTGTTTTTCTGGTTTAGGAATTAGGGTGATGCTGCCTTCATAGAAGGAGTTTAGGAGGATTCTCTCCCTTTCAGTTGTTTTGTATAGCTTGAGAAGAATTGGGATTAGTTCTTTAAATGTCTGGTCGAATTTAGCAGTGAAGCCATCTGGTGCTGGGCTTTTCATTGTTGATTGTCGCTCCCCCTCTTCGTGGAGGAACGACACTAAACCCTGCCTAGGCTTCATATCCGAGTCACGGCACCATTATGTCGCTCCCCCTCTTCGTGGAGGAACGACACAGGACCCTGCGCTGTTCTTTCGTCTGCTCGGCCCTCCCCGGGTTTGCTGCTGGTTCTTCCCGGGTTGGCTACTATCCCTTCCACCTCCGTGGAAGGGCAGTTCCCCCTGGCCACATTCCCCACTTCCGCAGGGGAGCGGCACACCGCCGGCCGGGTCTCTCGGGGGCTGCACGGGTGTTCCTTCAGCTAGATGTTCCCCATAGATGTTCCTGGTGCATGCCGTCTCTCTCCTCCTTTATAGTCCTCCTCCGCCAATCCCAACTCGGCTGCCCACGCCGAGTACGCTGCTCTCCAATCAGGAGCAAGTCCTACAGTTTATTAGTTGAACTGGAGGCAGCTGTGCGGAAGCTGTTTACTTCTCTCCCAGCGCCATATTGTGGGAGAGCAGATGCATAGAATAAGTCTTAATTCGAGTAACTTAGTCTAGTCCGGATTGCTCCCCCAGTTGATAGTCTTTATTACTGATTGAATTCCCATCTTGGTTATTGATCTGTTTAGATTTTTGTGTCTTGCTGCCTCACTTTTAGTAGATTGTATGTGTCCAGGTTTATATCCATTTCTTCGCTCGTTGTAGCAATTCCTGGTGATTCTTTTTATTTCTGTGCTATTTTTGTTACATTTCCTTTTTCATCTCTGATTCTAATGATTTGGGTTTTCTCCTTGGTTTACTTTTTTTGTTGTTTATTCAGGCTAATGGTGTTTCAATTTTGTTTATTTTTCCAACAAAAGAATTTTCATTTCACTGATCATTTGTGATTTTTTTGTTTCAGTTTTGTTTGTTTCTTATCTAATTTTAATTATTTCATTCCTGCTACCAACATTAAATTTGATTTGTCATTTTTCTGGGTCCTTGAGATACATTGATTGCTTAGTTATTTTCCAATTTATTAATACAGGCACTAATTGTTACATAATTCCCTCTTAACTCTTCTTTTCTGTATCCCATAAATTTTGATATGTTGCATTGTCTTCTTCATATTTTTCCAAAATTTTTTGAATTCTCTTTTAATTTCTTCTATGACCCACTGATCATTCAGGAGGATGTTGTTCAGTCATGTATTTGCATGTGTTCTAGAGTTTCTTGAGTTCTTAATTTTCAGATTCAGTTCCATTGTGGTCCAAGGAGATGCATGCTATGATTTCATTTATTTTGAATATGCTGAGACTTGCTTCATGGCCTAGTATATGGCCTATCCTAGAAAAAGTCCCATGCACTAATGAAAAGAATGTGTATTCACTGTGGCAAAAAAAATGACCTAAGTGAAAGACCTCTGTGAGTGAGATCCCAGTGGAAAGAACAGGTCATTCAAGAAGGAGGTACCTTTCTCTGAAGGGAGGAGAGAACTTCCACTTTGACTATGACCTTGTCTAAAATATGATCAGAGTCGGTGAACTCAAAAGGCCTCCATATCCTTGGCAACTCATGACAAGAGCCTAGGGTGATTACTGACGCCATAAACAAGAGTGTCAATTTGTAAAGTCAACAACAGGAGTCACTGTGCACTTACTCCTCATGTAGGATCTCTGCCCTTAATGTGCTGTACATTGTGTTTTAATGTTGTAACTAGTACTCAAACAGTATTTTACACTTCGTGTTTTCTGTGTGGGTGCAAACTGTTGAAAGCTTTTCTTTTTTTTTTTTTTTTTGACAGGCAGAGTGGATAGTGAGAGAGAGACAGAGAGAAAGGTCTTCCTTTTGCCGTTGGTTCACCCTCCAATGGCCGCCGTGGCCAGCGCGCTGCGGCCGGCGCACCACGCTGATCCGATGGCAGGAGCCAGGAGCCATGTGCTTTTCCTGGTCTCCCATGGGGTGCAGGGCCCAAGCACCTGGGCCATCCTCCACTGCACTCCCTGGCCACAGCAGAGAGCTGGCCTGGAAGAGGGGCAACCGGGACAGAATCCGGCGCCCCGACCGGGACTAGAACCCGGTGTGCCGGTGCCGCTAGGCAGAGGATTAGCCTAGTGAGCTGCGGCACCGGCCTTGAAAGCTTTTCTTAATATATGCTAAATTGATCTTCTGTATATAAAGATAATTGAAAATGAATCTTGATGTGAATGGAAGGCGAGAGGGAGCAGGAGAGGGAAGGGTTGCAGGTGGGAGGGAAGTTATGGGGGGAAAAGCCATTGTAGTCCATAAACTATACTTTGGAAATTTATATTCATTAAATAAAAGTTTTAAAAAAAGTGTGTATTCTGCTACTGTGGGATGAAAGGTTCTATAGATATTAATTAGGTCCATTTGGCCCATCTATTGTTTCTTTGTTGAATTTCTGTCTAGTTGATCTGTCCATTGATAAAGGTGGGATGTTGAAGACCCCCATTACTAGTGTATTGGAGTCTCTGTCTCCCTTTAGATCTATTGATATTTATTTGAAGCAGCCTGGCACCCTGGAATTGGGTGCATGTACTTTTATGATAGTTGCATATTCCTGTTGAATTGATCTCTTAATCATTACGTAGTGTCCTGCTTTGTCTCTTTTAACAGTTTTTATGTTAATGTCTATGTTGTCTGATATTAGGATGGCTGCACATGGTTGTTTCTGTCTTCTGTTACCGTGCAATATCTTTTTTCATCCTTACTTTCAGTCTGGGTCTATCTTTGTTGGTGAGGGATGTTTCTTGAAGGCATTAAATAATGAGTCTTATCTTTAATCCATTTAGCCAGCCTTTATCTTTTAATTAGAGTTTAGGCCATTTACATTCAAGGTTACTATCGATAAGTCATGACTTGGCCCTGCCGTTTTTCTGTAAAGATTCCTTCTGTTTGCTTTGGGTTTCCTTTGTACTTTTACTGTGAGATTTTCTGCCTTCACCTTCTTTCATAGTGATGACTATGTTTCTGTGTTTCTGTGTAGGACATCCTTAAACATCTTTAGTAAGGCTGGACAAGTGGTGACAAATTCTTTCTTTTATTATGGAAGGTGTTTGCTTAATTTTCATTCATAAGTGAGTGCTTTGCAGGGTACAGTCTTCTGGGTTGAAAGCTTTTCTCTTAATATTGGGCTGTGTCTCTCCATTCTCTCCTAGCCTGTTGAGTTTTGTTCGAGAAATCAGCAACGAGTCTAATTGATAAGCCTCTGAAAGTAATCTGGCTTTTCTCTTGTGTACATTTTGGAACCTTTTCTCTATGTTTTAGTGCTGAAAGTTTGACTACAGTGTGTTGTGAAGAGCCTTTCTGGTCATGTCTATAAGGAGTTTTATGTGCCTCATGTACTTAGACAACCCTTTCTTTCTCCAAATTGAAGAAGTTTTCTGTAATTATTTCACTGAATAGGCCTTCTCATCGGCTCTATCTTTCCACACCTTCAGGAACTCTCAGACCCATTTGTTGGGTCATTTGATAGTATACATAAATTTCCAACATTTATAATTTTTATAATTTCCTCTCCTTTTTTTGTTCTGACAAAAAACTTTATAAAGATTTCTCTTCCAGCTTCGATGGTCTTTCTTTTGACTCACCAAATATGTTGTTAAGGCTTTCCAATATATTTCTGTTTGACAGTTGAATTCTTCATTTCTAATATTTCATTTTGATTTCTCTTGAAAATTTCCATTTCAGGGGATAATTTCTCATTCACATCATGTAAGGATTTCTTTAATTTGTGGATTTCCTTCTGAGTAATCCTACAATTAATCTTTTGAATTACACTTCAGGTACTTCCTCAGTCTCTTAATCTTCACATTCTGATTTTGATGTGTTGTTGCATTCCTTGGGGAGGGCAAGTGAAGTTGTCTTTTTTCTTGATTCTTGAATTTCTGTGTTTAGTTTTAGGCATTTGTGAAAATATTGAATTCACAGGGCAAGATGGCGGTATAGCAGCAGGAGGTACCGAGTTGTGCAGCGAAAATGGATGATTAATGAGTAGAAGGGATACAAACAGCTGGCAGAATCCTGAAAAATTTATGTCCCGAAGTCCTCCAGAGGCTGCTCAGGTCCACTCCAGCAGAAGCAGAGAGAGGACTGAAGGATAGAGAATGAGCAGCACAGGAATGCAGTGAGGAGACAGGTGCCTCTTCCTCAGCAAACCAGGTGAGAGGTTGCAATCCCACAAAGATGCAGTGAGTGGGGACATTTGGTGAACAGTGCTTGGGGCTCTAAGCAGGAAGAAGGAGAAATTCTGAGGAATGGGTGGAGAGATAGAATATACCACAATCCATTGGTGTCTATCCCCCCAACCAGAGATACAGTTAGCGGGATGAAACCATATTGGTTGTTTACATTTTTGTGTGTAGGCAGCATGCTGCCGTGTTCGCCCAGGTACGCATACTCATCGATTGCAGAGGCCACCTCACAACATGCACCACACGGGGACAAGGATCACAACAATTCAGAGTGATTTCCCACCCACCATGCAAGTTGTACAACAGCAAATAATGCTAAATGATAACCCTAGCTCGTTTTACAAACAAGTGAGCAGGGAGCCCAGCACCAGCAGGTGGGGCTTAGTGCACCAAAGCACTGGTACCCAGCTCCATCAGGAATCAGAAATAAACAAAGCTCAGGGAGGTGGTACTGCATGCACATAGCAGCTCATAGCAGAGGGAGATCAATTTAAAAATAAAACCAATCTGAAACCAAACAGAAATGCCAAAGAACAAAGAACAATTCTGAATAAGAATAACGAAGAATTTGACCAGATAAAAAATGCAGTGGAATCTCTTAGTAATAGAACAGACGAAATAGAAGAGTGAATATCAGAACTTGAAGACAAACTTCCAAAAATAACAGTCAGAACAAACATAAGAAGAAAAATTTAGAAAATGAAGAGTTGGTTGGAGATTTACAAGATTCCATCAGGTGATCCAACGTACAGATCACATAGAAGTTCCAGAAAGTGTGGAAAGAGAGAAATAATTAGAAGGCCTACTTAATGAAATTTTATCAGAAAACTTCCACAATAGGCAGATTGAAAGAGACATCCAAACACAAGAGATACACAGAACTGCCAATAGACAGGACCAGAAAAGGAGTTCACCACGACACATTGTGGCAATACTCAGCTCAGTGAAACACAAAGAACAGATCTTAAAATGTGCTGAAAGATGACAAATTACATTCAGAGGTAATCCAATTAGACTCACCCCAGACTTCTCATCTCAAACCTTACAGGCAAGGAGACAATCACAAGATAAATTCCTAGTCCTAGAGAAAAAAAAAAACTGTCAACCCAGAATACTGTACCCTACAAAGCTTTCATTTATGAATGAAGGAGAAATAAGGATTTTCCACAACAAACAGAAATTGAAAGAATCTGTGTCTTCATGCCCATCCCTATAACACTGGCTCAAGGATGTGCTATACACAGAAACACAGAAACAGGAACTTCGCTACAAAAGAAGATGAATGTAGAAAATGACCCAGCAAAAGTACAAACAAAATCCAAAACACATAAACAGGTCTATTTAAGGAAACTAGGCGAGAATATATATATTTAACAATAATCACACTGAATGTAAATGGTCTCAACTCGCCAGTTAAGAGACACAGACTGGATGAATGGATTAAAAAAAAGAAAACCTATTTATCTGCTGCCTAAAAGAAACACACATTACTAATAAAGACATATACAGACTGAAAGTGAAAGGAGGGAAAAAGATACTGCAAGCTAACAGAAACCAAAAAAGAGCTGGTGTGGCCATCCTAATATCAGACACAGTAGACTTTAACACAAAAACTATTAAAAGAGACAAAGAAGGATCAATTCAACAGGAAGATGTGACTATTCTAAATGTATATTCACCTAATTACAGGGTGCCTGGCTATTTGAAAGGATTATTAAGAGATTTAAAGGGAGATATAGACTTAAATACAATAGTAACAGGGGAACTGAATACCCGTCTTTCAGCAATGCACAGATCAGACAGAAAATCACCAAGGAAACAACAGAGTTAATTGACACTACAGACCAAATAGACCTAGCAGATATCCATGGAGCCTTCTACGTACAGCAAAAGAGTACACATTCTTCTTCCCAGTGCATGGAACTTTCTCTAGGATTGACCATATATGCTAGGCCATAAAAGGAGTCTCAGCAATTTCAAAAAATTGAAATCATACCATGCATCTATCCAGACCACGATGTAATGCAGCTGGAATTCAGCAACTCAAGAATCTCTGCATCATATGCAAACACATGGAGAATGAACAGTGTGTTCCTGAATGAACAGTAGGTCACAGAAGAAATCAAAAGAGATATCATAAAATTTCTGGAAACAAATGAAAATGACAATACAACTTACCACAGTGTGTGGGATACAGCAAAAGCAGTGTTAGGGTGAAACTTTAAAGCAATTGGTGCTTATATCAAGAAACTGGAAAGGCACTAAATAAATGAACCATCTGTGCACCTCAAGGATCTAGAAAAGCAGCAGCAAACCAAACCCAAAACCAGGGAAAGAAAAGAAATAATTAAAATTGGAGAAGAAATCAACAAAATTGAAACAAAAAATACAAATGATCAGCAAAATGAAGACCTTGTTTAAAATTGACACACTGTTGGTTCAACTAACCAAAAAAGAGAGGGAGAGGGAGAGGGAGGAGATAAGATTCAGATCAATAAAATTAGAAATGGAAAAAGTAAATGTAACAGCAGACACTACAGAAATAAAAAGAATCATTGGAAACCAGTACAAGGAGCTGTATGCCAACAAAACAAACTGGGAAACCTAGAAAATGAATAGGTTCCTGAACACATACAGCTTACCTAATTGAGCCATGAAGACAAAGAAAACCTAACAGACACAGAACCAAGGCATAAATTGAATCAGTAATAAAGGCCCTCCCAACAAAGAGGGTCTGGTACCACACAGCTTCACTGCTGAATTCTACCAGACATTTGAAGAAATAACCCCAGTTCTTCCAAATGACTCAAAACAATTGAAAGGGAGGGAATCCTCCAAATTCTTTGTATAAAATCCTCAGTATAAGCATGGACCCCATTGCATTTACCCACCCTAGATGATCATGGAGCTCTGAGCAGCATGTGGAGCAGCTCACATTGATTGCCCAGAGACCCAGGTACACTTTGTGCAGTCACAAGTTCCCACAGTCTCAGCTCACTAGGCTCCCACAGTCAACAGGGTATAGAGGATCCACTCTGCTCTGCTAGCCAGTCCTGTTCACAGAGAGGCAGAGATGTTCCCAGAGCCAGCTGTCTGTGTTCTGCCTTGGCAGTTGGAGCCACAGAGCGTATGGTATGTTGAGAGGCTAGGGGTGCCTCACATTCCTACATGGGTGTCCAATCCTCCAAGCTGACTCAAAGTCAGTGGGGAACATGGATTTTCCCTCTGCTGGTATCTCTGGATCACATGCATGCACAACAGCCACCTGCTGAATAGTGTCTCCTCCCCGACTGGTTTCCAGGTGTGTGCCCCCAAGCTGCTGCCCCTGGTACTGCCCCTGGTACTGCTGAGAAGATGGCATCTCCTCTCAGCCCGATGCTGGGTGCCTGCCCAAGAACTTCCAGAGCTGCCACCTTTGGTGCCTGCCCTCTCTCAGCCAGTTGCTGGGTGCTGTTGTATTCAGATGAGGTGAGAGAAATGTGCTGCCATTTTTTACTGTGTCAGCAGTCACACTCTCCCTCTTAGGCTCCAGGCCAGACTCATGCCATGCTCTCCCTCTGTCTGTATCACTGTTGGCTTGGGTTGCTACAATCTGATCTCACCTCAGTCTCCAAAGTTGGAGCCTTCTCCAGCTATCAGCTCCTGGGGTCATGAGTTGGGTCTGTGTTCATGCTACACAACCAAATCTTCCACACAGATCCATGCCATTCCTCTTCCTTCCATAGTTTTCCACTGCAGTTTTCTCTGATTCTCCCATGACAATGTATATCCTGCTTTTTTATTATTTACTCTTAGCTTAGAGAAGTATGCCTTTCCCTATTTCAGCAACTTGGCACCTCCCCAGATGGAAGTTTTAAGTTAGATCATGTTATTCTTCTACAGACTTCCCTTCGCTTCCTATCTCCTTCAGAGTAAGAGCAACCACACTCTCAGTGGCATCAGGGTCTGCATTATATGGCCTCCTTTGATCTACTTTCCTACCATTTTTCTTTTCATTTCTCAACTCCAGCCACCCTGGGCCTCTGTCACTTCCTCAGTCTTTTCAGGCACTCTCATACTTCTAGATATTCGCACTGCTTTTTCCAGAATCCTAAAGCCCACCTTTTCACTTCTGTCAGAGCTCTGTTCACCTTCCAGGGAGTCCTTCCTCAGCCTACTTGTATGACACAGCAGTCTTTAACCTCTGCACCCCTTTCCTGTTCCTGTTTGATTCTCTCTCCTCAGCAGCTATCACCAACCTCTGGGCTATGTATTCTTTCTTTCTTTGCTCTTTTCCTCCCATTCCTCCCACTCCTACAATATGGGCCTCATGAGAGTGGAGCTGTGTTTTAACCACGGCTGTGTATCCCAAGTGCCTGGAACCATGCTTCACTCATCTCAGCATTCAATAACTATTTGTTGAATGAATGAGTCTTACACACATCAACTCTGTGACAGTACTAGAAGATAAAGATGCATTTATTCCATTCCACAAAGAAGGAAATGGAAACTCAGAGGTTAGGTTGTATGCATTTTGTGATGGAACCTTTACTTGACTGCCCAGATTTGAATGTTGCTAGAGTCATTTCTATCAGAGAGACATAAATGTCAGGTTCTCCAAAGACGTGCCACATGATCACCTACCTGCTGTCACACATGCTGAATAAGCAGGAATCTGTGGTGGTTATATGAGTCATCAGCTCTGACAACAGAGCAGGGGTCCTGAGTGGTTGTGTTGGATGCTCTGGGAAAGGCTGCCATAATGAAGGTCCCAGCTGCTGCTCAGTTCTCCCCTCAGTACCTCTGAGGCAACACCTGTGGTCACACAGACCCTCCCAGGTGAGGGGACTGGGATGTTTTTCTAGAGCTGGATGCCATAAAAGGATCATTGTGTGTAACTCCCAGCAGTGAAGGGCTGAGACTGAACCAGTGTCATCTCAGTGGCATTTAGAAAAGTAGCTTGGGGGGCAAGAAAGCTAAAAATCAGCCATAGGTACCCTTTACAGATTCCTGGGTACCCTGAGACCCAGAGGGGTCCTGAAGGTAGTGAGTGCTGCTTCTCCATGAGGTTGTGGTTCTTGAGGAAGGTTTCAGTGAATCTGCTGACAATTCATTTGTAAGTGCACATTACTCAAATTCCTTTTGGAATTAAGGGCATGGATTAGATTCTCCTGCTCTGATCCAGGCATTGAGCTGTCACGTCATAACATCTGCATTTTGGGGTTGTCATTTTCCTGTCTTGTCCTGCAAACAGGTGTGATCATCCAGGAGGAAAATAGATGAACTCAGAGATTAAATAGAGATCAAGAATTGAATTCAGTTGATAATTGATTGAGTGGGGGTCCACTCCAAAATCCTTTTAATTCATGAACTTTATGCAAAATCTCTGTGCTCAGAAATGGAAGAACAACTTGTGGCAGCCTCAGCACTGAGATGTTGTGGTCAGCTCTGGCTACTGTAATAAAACATCATAGACTGGATGGCAGAAAGAATAGAGATTATTTCTGTCACAGTTCTGGAGGCCAGGAGTCTGAGGTCAGGGCACCAATATAGGTGGATAGTATAGTGAGGGCTCTCTTTCAGGGTCACAGAAGACTACCATCTTTCTGCGTCTTCACCTGGCGGGGATGGGGGGGAGAGTGAGAAACAAGAGCAAGCTTTCAGGCGTCTATTCTTAGAAGGGCACTAATCCCATTATGAAGAACCTACCTTCATAAATTCATCGAAATCATATCTCTTTCCAAAATTACCATCTCCAAATGCTAAGATAATGGGATTAAAGCTTCAGTGTGAATGCTGAGAGACACAGTACATTCCACAGAAGGACTGAGGTTAATTCAGATGGGCTATGTGGGAGCAGACTTAGCCTATGGGGGTGTCCCATAAGGTGATCAGAGGGCAAGATGAAGTTCCTGTGAGCTTAGAGCATAGTGTGCAGATTACTAGTAATGGTTTATGCTCATGTAGACAGAGCAGTTAAGAGTTAGGCAGTGTTCAGAGTACTTTACTTTATCATAGATATATTTTTAAAGATTTATTTATTTATTCTAAAGGCAGAGTTACAGAGAGGCAGAGGCAGAGAGAGAAGTCTTCCATCTGCTAGTTCACTCCCCAGATGGCCACAATGGCTGGAGCTGCACTGATCCAGAGCCGGGAGCTTCCTACGGGTTTTCCACACAGGTGCAAGGGCCCAAGGACCTGGGCCATCTTGCACTGCTTTTCCAGCCACAGCAGAGAGCCGGATCAGAAATGGAACAGACAGGACTCGAACTGGTGCCCATGTGGGATGCTGGAGGTTCAGGTGGTGGCCTTATCTGCTGTTGCACAGTGCCAGCCCTATCGTAGGTATCCTTCAGTTTGTTCTATTCTTCCCTTCAGAGCCCATTAAGAGACAGGCTTCTGTGAGGATACTGGTGTCGTTCCATTGAGGTGTCCCAATGTGTTGTTTTAGTAAAGAGCAATCTCAGAGTTGCAGGTAATTCAGTTGTTGCCCTGATCATATAACATCTTTGCATGTATTTGGGGACAGTTCAAAGAAAGACACATTATAAGAATATGGGGAAAGCCACTATAATCCAAAAGTTGTACTTTGGAAAGTTATATTTATTAAATAAAAGTTAAAAAAAGAATATGGGATAAACATGGGTATTTCAACAAAGTTAATGGAAAATAGAATTCAGATATAAGCAGTATACAGGAGGGCATTTGGCCTATATGTTAGGAGGCCAGTTGAGAAGCCTGCACCCCATATTGGAGTACTTGGTTTTTATACGCATCTCTAACTCCTGAATCCTGACTCCTCTGTTAATACAGAGGGAAAACATTGGTGATGGTTCAAGTAATTGGGTTCCTACCATTCAAGGGGTGAGGCCTGGACTGAATTCCCAGCTCAATGCTGTGGAAATGTTGTGAGCATTTGAGCTGTAAAACAGTGGACAGCAGCTATCTGTCTCTCAACTTCTCAAATAAATTAAGTGTGTTAAGAGTTTATTTTGGAACAAAAATTTTTATGCACCTAAATAGGAGTCATTAATAGGAAAATGTATGTTATGAAAAAATCTCTTCATATATTTGAATTTTTCCCTCCAAACAATCTTTATTTTCATTTTTTTTTGACAGGCAGAGTGGACAGTGAGAGAGACAGACAGAGAGAAAGGTCTTCCTTCGCCGTTGGTTCATCCTCCAATGGCCACTGCGGCCGGCACGCTGTGGCCGGCGCACCGCACTGATCCGATGGCAGGAGCCAGGTACTCATCCTGGTCTCCGTGGGGTGCAGGGCCCAAGCACTTGGGCCATCCTCCACTGCACTCCCTGGCCACAGCAGAGAGCTGGCCTGGAAGAGGGGCAGCCAGGACAGAATCCGGCGCCCTGACCGGGACTAGAACCCGGTGTGCCGTTGCCGCAAGGTGGAGGATTAGCCTAGTGTGCTGTGGCACTGGCCTCGTTTTTCACATTTTAAAGCACTCTCTCATATACATATACACAGTTAGGCTTTCCTCCAAAGTGCCGGTTTCTAAAATAATTCTCTGAAGTTGGTGGGTTGGGTTATTTTCTCTGTCACCCCCACTTCTCACCCAGGGTGAGGATTTTTTTAAAGGTTTATTTATTGATTTGAAAGTCAGGGTTACAGAGCAAGAGATGGAGAGACAGATCTTCCATCTGCTGGCCTACTCCCCAGATGACCATAAAGGTCAGGACTGGGCCAAGCTGAAGTCAAGAGCCAGCAGTTTCATCCAGGACTGCCCCATGAGTATCAGGGGCCCAAGTGCTTGGATCATCCTCTGTTGGTTTTCCCAGGCCACTAACAGGGAACTGGATCAGAAGTTGAGCAAAGCCAGCATTGAGGCATAGAGAGTAAAGCAGCCAGCCACCTGTGATGCTGATATCCCATATGGGTGCTGGTTCAAGTCCAAGCTGTTCCACTTCCAATCCAGCTCCCCACTAATGTACCCAGGAAAGCAGTGGAACATGGCCCAAGTGCTTGGGTCCTTTCACCCATGTGAGAATTGTAGATGAAGCTCCGGTTCCTGGTTATGGGCCTGGCCAAGAACTGGCCATTGTGCCATTTGGGGAGTAAACCAGAGGATGGAAGATTTTCTCTCTGCCTCTCTCCCTCTCTGCCTCTTTCCCTCTTTCTGTCTGTTCTCCTTTCTCTGTGACTCTGACTTTCAAATAAATAAATATTACAAAAAATAAGAGTTAGAGGAACCAGGACAGGAACTGGCAGTGGCACCCATATGGCAGCTTTACATGATACAACACAACACAGACTCCCAGGGTGAGTTTTAACACAAGTTGTTGGAACAGCATGCTGACTTCCTCTTAGTTCTTGATGGGATCAGCCAGGGTCATTGAAAATACTCGTGTAAACCTGCAGGTACCAAAACCTGGAGTGGAGACATGAACTGCTCCAGGTCACCTCATGTGCCAAGGGTGGCTGTACATTGTCATGAGAGCCCTTCAATTCACAGATGTCTGCTCAAGGGCAGGTGCCTTGGCCTTAGAAGAAGCAAAGGTAAAGATTGCATCTGTCACCAGAAGAAACAGCCACGTCTGTCATAGAGCCCAGAGACTTGACTTCTTGGCATCACCCTTGTCAGGGATTCCTGGGTCACCTTGAACAAGTCACCTAATCTCTTTGAGACCTACTTATGCAGTGCTAAGGAGAGGAGTTTAATGAGGTAGCTGTTGAGGCCAGGATCACAATCAGATCTGGAGATTCTGTAAGTTGCACAGATTCTGGAAGACACAGAGGCAGTCATAAGATATTTTCTTTGGTTTCTCAAGAATTAACATAATTAATACCTCTGCTTTCAGAATGAATCAGTAATGTGAACAACAGTTCTTTTTTTTTGACAGAGTTAGAGAGAGAGAGAGAGAGAGAGAGAGAAAGAAAGAGAGGTCTTCCTTCCATTGGTTCACCCTCCAAATGGCTGCTGCAGCCGGCACACTGCGCCAAAGTGAAGCCAGGAGCCAGGTGCTTCCTCCTGGTCTCCCACACAGGTGCAGGGGCCCAAGGACTTGGGCCATCCTCCACTGCCTTCCCGGGCCACAGCAGAGAGCTGGACTGGAGGAGGAGCAACCAGGACAGAATCCAGCGCCCCAACCGGGACTAGAACCTAGTGTGCTGGCACCGCAGGCAGAGAATTAGCTAAGTGAGCCATGGCACCGGCCTGAACAACAGTTCTTGATCTCAAATTGGACAAATTTTAACTGATGTAACAAGGAAGAAAGAGCGCAGATTTGTGCTGTCCAATATGGTAGCCACCAGCCACATGTGAGTATTTAAATATGAAATAACTTCAATAAAATAAAACAAGAAATGCAGATTCTCAGTCACATGGCCACATTTCAGGTGTTCAGGAGCCACCAATGCCTGGTGTCTGTTTTACAAGCTTCCTTCTGCCACTCAGCACTGCCCTGGAGCTTTGCCAGGACCAAAGGCTCCCTATCCTTGGTAAAGACTACAGGTGTTTTGGGCCTAGGGGGACTGGGCCCATCTTTGGGGAATGAAAGAATGGATGAAAAATCCCTTGAGGACAAAGCAGTGCAAGAAACCCCTAAGGCAAAGGATGGTTATATTGGTCAAGGGTTTGAGAAATATGGGAAGGCGGGGATGTTGGGAAAAGGATAAAGAAACGTGTGAACCGTTCTGTTCCTTTGTTCTTGACTGGTCCTGGAGCTCTGGATCACACAGGACTACAAGAGGGAAGTTCCTTATACAGATTGTTACCATATGCACAACTGATTCCTACAGTGGGAAAGTACGAGAGGAACAGGGATCTCCTAAGCCCCAAGAAAGGAAGGGCCTTCTCATAACTCAGTGCTGGGGAAAATGGTAGTCCCTTTCACATGTTAAAGAAGGAACAGGACAGTGGCAGGAATGGGAAGAAGTCAGGCTGACTTGAAATGAGGAAGAAGGTAGCCACTTTATCTGGAGGCTGGCAATTTAATTACAGAAGTGTGCAGTCAAAGCCATCTTATATTTTGAAGCGTAGGCTTCTGTGTACACAGAATCCATGCCAAAGGAGAAGGTTGAGTTCTGCCTTCCTTGCCAGCCTGGCTCGCGGGGGCCAAGCCTGTGAGGAGGCAGATGGGAGTGTAATTTGCCCTTCTGTCTGGAAGCCATCTGTAAAGGGAATCACCTTTGTCTTCTGAACTGCCTTCCAGGTGCAGCCACGGGGATGACACTGAAGATGAGAGCAGCAAGTTCACTGACAATGTTGAGGAAGAGGCCGCACGTGGAAGAGCCAGCAGCAGTGACATTGGTGCCAGGTTCTGCCATTCCCTTCTGAGACCTGATGCATCTGGCACCTGATGGGGACCTAGAATGACAAAGTAGGTTTTTAAATAAGCCACTTCTCAGTCAGATCTCTGCCCTCCCTGAGCTTCTCAGCCGCCTCTCTAGCCCATATCCTTATTCCACTTTCCCTCGGATCTGCACATTGTTTTACTGCTTCTATTTCTTCCTTCTGCTTCCTGCCCCCTCTCCCCACTTTTGCCCATTTACTCTCTGGAGTTGTTAGTTCCAAGTGAGTTGTCAGTTCAGAAAATTGTTTTAGTCCATCTTATTTCAACACCTGTGAATGTTTCTATGCAGGCACCTGTGAAGTCACTGGGCATACTCTGTGACCCCGACAGACAACAGTTCTTGCTCTCATGAAGGCTGCCTCCTATCACATGAGCGAAACCTGAACAAATAATAAGTTAAGTGCATTATGCTTACAATTTATAATTCTGATGAGTGTGATTGTTTTGTCCTGTGTTCCCAGGTCCCAGTTTATCATCTACTGACTTAAAACTGGCTGGTGGTAATTCACATAGCTGTAGAACCCACAATAACACATTTCCTATTGTCATGGTCCTCATTTCTTTTCCATAATGGTGTAAGGAAATTTTGCTTTTCTTTCAAAGGCCACCTTGAACACAAGAGGCTCTGAGACTCAGGATGTTTTGAGACCAAGGTTTTTAATTGTGGTGCTGTATCCAAGTAGCTGTGGAGATATAGGCAAGTCTAATCCTTCCTGCGCCTTGATTATCTTCCTGAAAAATAAGGAAGCTGTTGTAGGTCTATGAGGTCACTTCATGTTCTGGGGTGTCTCTGAGTCAATTATGGAATAAGATGTCTGTAATAGAGATCAGTAACAACTGTGGTCAAGAGCATACCCAACCCTGATTAGGTTTCCTTCAGGAGCATCTCGCTGAACCTTTGGCCTGAGAATGCAGAACAAAAAGAGCATAATAGGAGATGCAATGCCTGGTGGGTGGGAGATCCAAGAAGACAAAGAGAAGAATGAGGTGACAGTAGATCCTGGGGTCACAAAAGTGGGTCTGAATGAGTGTACCTTCAAGCTGAGTTCGGGAAGGTCCAGAGAAAAGCAAAGAATGTGCACAGCATCATCACCCTCCCTAAATAGCAACTGGTACTGAGCAGCAAGGAATGAGATAGTGCCCTTATCCAGAACTCCTTGAGTATCTGAACAAGGAGATCGACAGAAGGAACGCAGCCCTGCTTTGTTCTCCCAAGGAAGACCTATGCCAAGAAGAGGGGATGTGCACAGGAGGCCTTACTCCAGACCCCAGAGCCTTGACCCTGGAACTGCCCTTCCAGCAATGCCCATCAGGTAAATGTGGGCATGGATGGATGGAAACACTTGGAGGTGGGCTGGGGATGCCAGTCATTACCTACACAGTTCCTCCTTTTAGGTCAGGAGATACAAAAGAAAGGTTCCCTTGCACCAAAGCAGTGGTGATACTAATCTTCAGCACATCTTCAGCCTTTAGAAAGGTTTTCACAACATTTTCTCCTGAGTTTTGCAAGTAATGCCCTCCCTAGGCATTGGCAACAGGCAATAAAGCCTGATCTATGCCCTGGAAGTGTCCAAGGGAGTGAGGAAAGATGGCCCCAAACCAGACAGTTCCAGTGGGGTGTGACAACTGCTGAGTGTTGGGATGCACTGGTTTTGGATGCAGCCCAGACGAGCAGTGTGTGGTGACATTGCTTCCTTATCCCTGCCACATTTATCACTGCTCAACACATGGATTTTCTCCTCAGACACTCTGAAGGAGTTGTCAGGATTCCCCTACAGAAATGAACTTTGCTGAGGATTTTTCAAAATGGAGAAGGCAGAGGATTTGAGAGGCCACTGGGACAGAATGCCCATGAGATGATGTCTTCTCTTTTCAGCCTCTGAGCACATGGTTACTGAGTGCTCCTACCTAGCTGTTACTGGTGCTGTTATGTGCTGTTGATGCAGAATGAAATGTTACCCCAGCTCTCCAGGAGCTCCACCTGGAAAACAAGAAACTGCCAAAAGGCATGGGAAGTGCTGTGACAGACATATGACTTGAGTCCACGGTGGAGGGGGAGTGTTCACCTTGGTGTATGGACACTGATGCAGTTCTTTGAAGTCCTGTTCTACTATTTCTGCTTTTCCAAATATGTAGATTCAACACTATTTAAAGATTTATGTTTTTATTTGACAGAGTATTGGAGATGTAGAGATGGAGGGGAAGAGAGAGAGGGAAAGAGGAAAGAGAGAGAGAGAGAGATATGGAGTTCTTGGTTCCTGGCTTTGGTCTGGTCCAGATGTGGGTGGAAGGGGCCCAAGTACTTGAAGTATCATCCACTGCTCCCCAAGATATTTTGACAGGGATCTGGATCAAAAGCAGAGTGGCCATGACTGGAACAAGGACTCTGATATGGGATGTGGCCTTCCCAAGTTGTTGTTTAACCTGCTGGAAAATGGCATCTGCCCTCCCCCAAAACACTGTTAAATCATAGTAATATGTTAAGAGCATCATGCTTTCAGAATGAAAGAATTTCTTGTCCCACAGCTCCTGTGCCCATCCTTGGTATAGAAGGCCCATGTCACTGTCATACTTGAGATACATGGACCTGTGTGGAAAAGACACAGGACATTGTAGGATTTGAATTCTGGATCTGTCTTTGCTAGTCTGAGTGACCTAGAATAAGCCAGCTTACCTCTCCCTGAGTGTAGGTCTCACCATCAGTAAAAGCAGGCAACTGCACCTAACTTGCAGGGCTGTTGAAAAGCTAAGAAGCACTGCATCTTAAGGCCTGATACAGTGCCAGGGCTGAAAACAGTACAGCTTCAACTTTGCCTCTAGTCATTATTGTCCTTGTGACAAACCTGCCTTCTCCCAAGTATAGAAGTCACTGCAGAATATTCAACATTTTCTTTTTTACAAGATTTATATTTACTTGAAAGTCACAGTTATGCAGAGAGAGGAGAGGGAGAGAAAGAGATCTTCCATCTGCTGGTTCACTCCTCAGATGGCCACCACGGCCAGAGCTGTGCTGATGCAAATCTGGGCATTGGGAGCTTCTTCTGGGTCTCCCACATGGGTGCAGGGACCTGAGCCCTTGGGTCATCTTCAACTGCTTTCCCAGGCCATAATAGAGAGCTGGAGAAGAAGTGGAGCAGACAGGACTCGAACTAGTGCCCATATGGGATGCCAGCACTGCATGCAGAGGCATTACCCACTATGTCAGAGTGCTGGCACCGTATTCAACTTTTTCTGAAGAAGGTATATTTGTTTTCAGAGGGTGAGGAGCATGATACCCTCAGGACATTGGTCCTCATGGAAAGGCCATGCTCTGTGCATCTGGGCTCAGCACAGGCCACTGCCCTGGGAAAAAGCCCTTGGAAAGCCAGCTAAGGGAGCAAGAAGAGCTCCAGTCAAGTAGAAAATCAGAAATCATCTCTGCTCTGCAAAGGGACATCTTAACATCAGATTTAGAGTGCCAGCGAGGTCATTAGAAACCTCAGGAACCAGGTGTGGTGCCTGTCAGTTACAAATGATTATTTGTTTAGTCTGGAAAGACCCCAGAAGTTGAGTTCTATTGCCTCCTTCATGAGATATTCTGTGATGAGAACAAGAGATGGCTGTGTGGTAGCCCCACACTTTTCTTTCTTTTTCTTTTTTTAGATTTATTCATTTGTTTGAAAGTCAGAACTTTAGAATTATTTTTCTAGTTCTGTGAAGAATGTCATTGACATCTTGATGGACATTCAATTGAGTCTGCAAATTGGTTTGAGTAGTATAAATAAGTTAAAAATACCAATTCTCCCAACTATGAACAGTAGTGGTTCTCCATTATTTGTTTCTTCTGTAATTTCTTTGATTCAGATTTTCTAATTTTCCTTGTAGAGATCTTTTACATTCTTATTTCAATTTATCCCAAGGTAATTTGTTCTTTTTGAAGTCATTGCTCTTATTATTTTCATATCAAACTTCTACTTGTTGGTTGTTGCTTTCTTATCCTGCAGCTTCACTGAAGTAGTTTGCCTATTCTAACAGTCTTTGATGTAGATGTTAGGCTTTTCTACATAGAGACTCATGTCATCTACAAATGGAGATGTTTTAACTTCTCCTTTCCTATTTGTATGCCTTTGTTTCTCTTGCACAATTGCTCTGACAGAAACTTCTTGTACTATGTTGGATAAGAGTGGTGACGGTAGACAACCTCATCTGGTTCCAAATCTTAGCTGAGATTTTTCCAACATTTCCATTCGCTATGACATTGACTGTGGGTTTGCCACTTACTACCTTTATTATGTTGAAGTATGTTCCTTCAAAATCAAATTAATTCAGGGCTTTTATTTTGAATGGATATTGAATGTGGCAAATGCTTTTTCGTTATCTACTGAGATGATCATGTAACTTTAATCTTTTGTTCCATTGAGGTAATTTGTTATATGTATGATTTCTGTGTTGAACCATCCTCACATCCCTGGGATGAATCTCACTTGTTTGGCACAGTGATCTTTTTAAATACGGTGCTGCAGTCAGTTTTCTAGCAGTTTATTGAGAATTTTTGCATCTGTGTTCATGAGAGATGTTGGCCTATAGTTTTCATTTTTGTGGTGATGCTTTGTCATTGTCCAGTTTTGAAATAAAGGGAATTCTGACCTCATGGAGAACTTGTTAGGAAGGATTCCCTTGCTCTACATTGCTTTGAATCATTTCAGATAAATTGCTGTTAGTTCATCCTTAAAAGTTTGGTAGTACCTGTTAACCAGGTTAGTAACATCAGTTGTTACTAATACAGTTACAAACATCACAAAATGGATGGAAGAATCTACGTCATTGGAATTAGAAATCCAACACAGTTGTCATGGTACTGGAAACACCTCTACATTTATTTCAAACTTTTTTTTAGTTGTTTTGGAGATTAAATAAAAAGCACACATTTTGTTTTCATTATGTTATTGCTTTCTCTTGATTTTTCAAATTAAGTTTACAAAGGAATTTAAATAGATAGAAGGAAACTTTAAAGTAACCTCATTCATGTATAGAGGAAGAACATACAGATAATAAAAACTCAAAAGGCAGTTCCTCTAAGCCAAATATGCCCAAGGGAGAGAGAATGGGTTGTAGTGAAGCAGAAGGGGAACATAGTTAGGAGATGTATCACTAACCCAAATGAGCGCCTTGGAGTCATCAAAGATGGGATTCTGAACAGCAGAGTTTTGTTCAGTCTTTGTACTTCCTTAGAAATGATTCACCATCTCTGGCAAGTTAACCTGAAACTTAGCTGATCCACGAGGTTGGAAGACATTAGAATCCAGAAGCCTATTGAATGAGTCTAGTGTTATTCTGGACCTTAGGAGAGAAAAGTGGACGATAATATGCTATTGGTAGAATAAGGGGAACGAACAGAATCAACAATGTTTCTAAAAAGAATAAATGACAATGAGAATTGAGTTTTAGGAAAGAAAAAGGGGTATAGTATCTTGGTACACTGGGGTTGTTCTCTGAAACACCTTCATCCCAAACCATATTCCCTTCCATATCATCCTCCCTGTATTCATTTCAAACTATGACCCCTAAACCTCCATAATCTCATTTTTAGTTCTAAGCTCTAATAAGATGTATGAATTGAAAGATATTTCATATTCTCATTCAGTGACAAAACCTTATAGAAGAGGCGAGAGACTATGCATTGTCTTTATTTACCTGCATTGTGAGAATGTTCACATATTTCCTTGCCGACATTATGTGTTTGGCTAAATGTTCTGGCTCTGATGCAGTGAAGTACAAGTACTGCATGGCTTATGTGGTATTTACATCCTATTGCCTTGCTAAAGACCAAGAAGATCTGTCTTTGAAAATACATTTGACTTTCATAATTTCAGATACAACATTGTGGCCGTGAAGCTTTACACGTACGTATATGGTAAGTAGAGGTGCATTGCATGTAGAAGGTGAACATTTCACTTAGGATCTGTGCTCTAAGGTGTCTGTTTCCAATTCTTACATGTGACCAGCAGACATAGTGTGGTGCTGTGTCTTATTCTATTTGATTTTTGAGTGTGGAGGGCATGAAATCTTGCTCAGACGTTCCCTTCTGTAGTTCAATGCTGATCTCCTACCTTGAGAAAACCTGGTCTCTGGACTGCGGGACTTCAGTTAATACAAAGATGAAGCCATAGACTGTTTTCATCTGCCAATGTCATGCCCTGTGGATGAATGTGTGTCACTTGAACCTCAGGGAAATTCCAGACTGGATGTGTACAATTTTAGCATGCCCCAGACCCCACACAGAAGTGGTGACATGAGTGTCTCAGATATGTTGGCCTATATAGTAGCCAAGACCCCAAGATTACAGTGGTGTTCTTAGCAGAAAGGAATGTCACACACCAGGCAAGAGCCTTAGAGAGAATCACGGATATTAAATAGCAGATCAAATTACATCAGTCAAAGACCCTAATCTCATACTTCTCTTGGACATCTCAAAGAATCTGAAATCCTCGATGATAGGAGTTGTGTTGCATATAGGAAAGAAAGCTTGCAGATGCCTCCATATTTTGGTCCTAGTAGCCCATGAGGCACATATATGCCCTGGAAAATGATGCTGTAATAAGTGCTGCTCCCTTTATTCACTGGCCACTCTGCCAGAACCAGAGAACATGTTCCTTTAAATATGGCCAGAGGAGTCATTTCCTGTCCCTCTTCTTTGGGACATTGTACTTTCATGATCATCTCAAGGATTGTGATGAAAGTGAAATGTTGTCATTTGTACAGTGCTTTGCCAAATGCTGGGTATAAATTCACCAAGAAGTTGTCACTGTTACTTTGTTTTTATTAACACTACCCTAAATCCACCCCTGTACAATGTAAAGTAGGACATGTAATCTTGTGATGCTTTAGTTTATGATTTTTAAGATTAAGAATTTGATGAATAATTATTTCTGCCATAGAATATGAAGATAAGAGACAGCTGAAAATGAATTTCTTCATACCTTTGATTCATCTCAGAAACTGATATCTTACACATTAGAGTGGGAAGATGCTGAGGGGTTCAGGACCAGCCTCATTAGTGGAATTCAGCTACCATTCAATAGGACTTAGCCAATAAGAAAATTTATCAGGCAATGTTACATAAAAACTGCAGATGGATCCTGTTCAATATGTAGATAAACTGAATGCAAATATGAAAAGAATACCATCAGATTTGCAAGTTTTCCCACATGGATGTTCACTGTGTATTGGGGGGAGGGTTCACATCAACTATTTGTGTCAGTTGATATCTTGAAAAGGCTCTTGTGGGGCTCGAATGAAACCCATAAGTGTCAAGTGTAAAGTGTCCGTCAAGTGATGGTGAAACAGGGCAGGCCCACTTAGAGGAAGACACTGAGGATGTAAGGGCATCTAACTGGCTTTCAGTTGAATGAAATGCCCATGTGCTGCCCCTGTCAGGGCAAAGCCAGCACAACCCTTGAGTGCAACAGAAAGTCTACTGAGATGGGATACAAAACATTTAAAAGTGAACCCTTGGCTTAGTGTTGTGCTGTGCTGTGTGGGTCTAAGAAGCTGAAGAGTCTGAGAAGAACATCATGGGCAGTTTATAATTCAGCATCTCTCAGTGGTGGAAAAGCCTTGTGGTCTCTTTTGACATAAAGAAAAGTTGGAGTGACTTTATGACAACCCTTAAAGTAAAAATTGTTAGGATATGAGTCCTGCCTTAATCTTTTAGAACAGAGGAATGAGAAATATGCTTAGACGCTTTTGGGAAAAGGTAGGACTATGGTTTCAGCCAGGGGTACACAACTGTGGAGGCTGTGTTGAGTGGGTGGTCCCTTTAAGACATTAAGAGGTGGTCCCCTTAAGACTTTCAGAGGTGGTCCCCTTAAGACTTTAAAAGGACCAATCAGGCTTGTGCATCAGCCAGGTGGCCTAGGCAACTGGAAGGCAGTGGCTCCCAAGATTCCATGATACCCCCCGTGTTTTGATTCTGTGACAGTAACTGCCAAGTTACCTGGAAGTGAAGCCCTACTTCTCTCACTCTGTCGGATGTTGAGCAATAAGCAGGAGCTTATGCTCTGAGCTCTGGCACCTGACTGAATCAAGAATAAAGGCGTTAAAGTGTTGTGGGGTGTTTCCTAACAGTAAGTTGGGAGGTACAGTTATCTACAGTTATCCTCATCTATCAGTCCTACTGAAAGAGGTTTCATTTTCTTTAACTCCTCTTTTTCTTGGGTGTCTTCTTCCTAGTCCCTGGATATACTCATTTTGCTACAAGCATCGATATGGCACTGACTCTCGGTCCCTCACTTGACGTGAGGGTAGAAACCAGTGAGCAATTAAGCTCTCAACTGGCAAAGAGCCAACGAGAATCAAAAGAACTGAAGGAGAAGCTTCTTAGAGCTGAGGCTAAGGCCTACCTCCTGGCAAAGCACCTGCAGGACCACAGTAAGTTCGTTCTTTTCCCTGTGTTTAATGTTTTATTTCTAAAAAAGAAATATAAATAAAATAGAGAAATTTGTTAATATAGATTGAATGGGAGGCACAGCATTATTCATGTTCCCATTCCACAATAAGTTCTATAGGTTCAGTGTCACCGAAATGATGAGTATTTGATGTCACCTCTTGGAGAAATGACCTGTTTGCTAACCTTGATCCTTCTCTTCTCTCTACCAAATAAGTTACATAGCTACCATGCTCTGAGAAGGATTAGCGTTAGTAGTTGCAGCATCAGTTGGTTGTGCAGGAATAACTGAGGCACAAGTTCAGCCAATTTTCCACATTTTCACTGAGCTGTAGGGTGGGAATTCTGACACTGTCCCGCTCCAGCTGAGTCACTTTGCCAAGTCCCTTCAGGTGCATTTGAACTCTTCTTCGCTCATTTGCTGCCAATGTAGTATTTTCTCAAATGTTATTTTAAATCTTTATCCAATAAATTGGTGGGAATTATATACTACTATAGCTTTGGTGTTTCTGTGACTACTTTAGAGTTACTTAACATAAGTGAAGATGAGCATCTTTTGATTTGATTATTGTATATAACTCTTGTCTATTCTCTGGCTGGATTATGGTCCACTTATACTTTATTTCTTGAACTGTTTATTAAGTAGAGCCATTAAGCCTTTGGTAGTAGTATAAATGAAAAATACATTATATGGGGCCAGCGCTGTGGCATAGCAGGTAAAGCCACCACCTGCAGGTGTTGGTTTGAATCTGGCTGCTCCACTTCTGATCCAGCTCTCTGCTATGGCCTGGGAAAGTAGTCTAAGATGGCCCAAGAGCTTGGACCCCTGCACCTGTGTGGGAGACCTGGGGGAAGAACCTAGCTCCTGGCCTCAGGTTGGCACAGCTCCAGCCATTGTGGCCGTTTGTGGAGTGAGCCAGTAGATGGAAGACTTAGCTCTCTCTCCCTGCCTCTGAATCTCTATAACTCTGCCTTTCAAATAAATGAGTAAATCTTTAAAAAAAAGTTAACTGAAAAAATAAGAAATAAAATATTAATATTTAAAAAAAAAGAAGGGATTAGAAAAAATTCCCTGAGGGGCCGGCACTGTAGTATAGTGGGTAAAGCCACCGCCTGCAGTGCCGGCATCCCCTATGGGTGCCGATTCAAGACCTGGCTGCTCCACTTCCAATCCAGCTCTCTGCTGTGGCCTGGGAAAGCAGTAGAAGACGGCCCAAGGCCTTGGGCCCCTGCACCCATGTGGGAGACCCGGAAGAGGCTCCTGGCTCCTGGCTTTGGATCGGCCAAAGATTGAAAGACCTCTCTCTCTGTCTATCTGCTTCTCCTTCTCTCTGTGTAACTCTGGCTTTCCAAAAAAATATATAAAGCTTTTTTTAAATCCCTGAACAAATATAAATAAAATGGAGATTATAAGTGTCCTGTCCCTGGGAGCTAAAGAAACAAAGAGGAGGAAATTCACACCAAGAGCTTGATGGTGTAGCTCCACTTCCTGACAGACAGTGACCTTAGCAGCCCGCTCACCTTTCCACTGAGGCAGGTGTATGTGTGTGCGTGTCTTTCCTCAGATTGTGAAGAGTATGAAGATCTAATTGAATCAATGCTGAGGGAGAAGCCACAGTTCCTGGAGGGGCAGCTGGCAGAGGAGCTGCTACCTGCAGAGAATCTCAAGTAAGGGGGCTCTCTCGGGTGGGCAGGTGGAAAGGTGAATGCATCTCTCAAGTGGGGCAGCTCAGCTGGGGAACCAAGAACTGATGTGGCCAGGAGAAGGGCAGGGATTTACATGGTGGGCTGACCCCTCAGCTTTATAAAGCAGGCAGACAACAGAGAAATCACCAAATTGTAGGCTGCAGTGGCTATTTAGAACCTCTTTTTGACTTGAAAAACGAGGCACTTATTGACTTGAAATTCACATACAAAATTGAAGAAAGCGAACCACACAGAGACGTTTTATATCCACACAGTGCTGTAGGATCCTCTCCTCATTAACTGTGTCTCCATCACCTCCTGACCGTGGATGCTGTCCTAGATTCTCCCTGTCAGTCGTTATTTCTACCGAAAGCCATTGTGCCTGGCATGTTTCTGTGTCTACCTTTGTGTCCACTCGCTGCACACTGCATTTTTATAAGGAAAGGTCTGTGGCTGGAGTGAGGAATTTAAGGAACATGTTGGTGAGGGAGCTGAGGAAGAACCTTGGTGTTGTTTAGAGAACCAAAAAATCAGCCCAGTGTCTAGTAATCTCGCAAGGTCTGTCTCTCTACTAAAGAGGAATCTCTTGCTCCATCTTTTCCTCTTCCCTACTGTGGGCATTTTCCCACACAGGCAGTGATGCTGCTTAGAGGGCCCTGTGAGCACAGTCTCACCAAATCTCTGCAGAGACACAGAACACACCATAGGGCCATTTCCACCTTGACATTTTCTCTCCTGTCACACCTTAGGAAATGTGGTGTTCAAATTCAAGAGCAGGCCCAAGAGCTGACCCAATTACAGCAGAAGTTACAGGAAGGGAGAGCTCTTTCTCAGCTCATTCATCAAAATCTCCAGGCCCTCCTCACCCTGCAGGACCCTGACAGCTGCCAGAGCCGGCAACTACTCACTGAGCTGCTCAAGCTGACAGAGCACCTTGTTGCCAAACTCAGCACAGGTAAGGTGGCCAAGGCTCTGAGACTTAAGATGGTCTCAAGTTGGCATCCGACTCCACACTTCTTCAAAGAACATTTACCAACAGTCTGTACGTTTGTGTAAACAATTCTGTAAACAGTTCTCTAAACATTTGCGGCCATTTTTGGTCAGGGTACTTGTGTAGGAACAAAGAGTGGGAAATGCAGAGCTTTGAAGGTCCCAGGGCTGCAGAGATCTCCTCCCTGATGCAATTGGCCTTGAAGCAGGAGGCCGCATCCTCTAGCTTTCTTTTTTTATGCTTGGATTTCCATTTTATTTCCATTGAAATACACTTACCTTTTTATAAAGATTGATTTTTTATTTTATAGGCAGAGTTATGGGGATGCGGGGGGACAGAGAGAAATTTACTGTTGAATTGATAGTATATACAGACTTTTCTAAACCCAGATCTGGGATTTTCTTTTTTTTCCCCCAGAGAAACCTTTTGGGGAACGGGAATAGGAGAGGGAGAAGGTGGGGTGGGAGCTTCAGTGAGGCTCCTGATGCTTCCTTCACCAGGGAGGCAGCCATGCACGGTGTCAGAGGTCTTTGCTCCCTAGCAGGGCAGGCAACCGTTTGCCAGAGCACATGTCCTGCCCATGTGTCTCTATCCCTGTGACTCAATCTCAAGCTCTGTCACCGCCAGAGAAGGTGGGGTGGGAGGGTGGGTATGGAGGGAAGAGTTACTGTATTCCCTCCAGTTTCAAAACACAGGAGAGAGGATGTGACTGGAGGCAGCTTGTGAGAGGTAACAAAAGCCACAGTGCAAGAGTGGAAAGTCTCGGCTGCTCCTCAGCGTGTTTTCACACACGTGTGACAGATCTTTTGTGGATTTCAATCTCCTTGTCTGTAGAGTGTCAAATAATCTGTTTCACAGTAGAAGTAACACTATGGCCATCTCCTGTGGGATATTCACACCCTGGTAACACTCCCTGACAGCCATAGCCCCCTGCATTTTGCAGCTACCTCTGGATTTCAGCCTAGCAAACCATGTGGCCTTTCTCTTCCCTGATGAAGTTGACTGAGCTCCCGAGTTCTCTAGAACACTATGCCATGCCCTCAGTGTTCCATCTTGGGCATTAGGTCTGACTGGAGCCACTAATGCCCTACACTCTCTGGGTGGCCACAGAGATCCTGGTGGACCAGAGGCTCTGTAGAACTCACACTTCCACCCAGTAGCAGTACACAGAGTTCACTGTCCATTCAGTCTCCAAGACAATGAAGAGCAAATTCGCATTTGGCTGTTCTCAACCCAACAGCCAGGTAGCCTATTGCTGGAGCTGATGTTGTTGGGGGCCAGATGATCTTAGGGTTTCCAGAAAATGAGGCCACGGGAGATGTGGGTAACATCCTGTTTCAATGGAGAGAATGGGATCACCTGGCTCCAAGGACATATGGTCAGGCCGGGATGGTGGCCTGGAGACACACTGTAGCCTCTGAGGCTGTTGCCAAAGTCCCAGATGTCTCTCATGGAAAAGTAGAAGTCCTGGTGGCGGTAGCTGTGGCGTTGGACCATTTCCTGAAGGTGTCCTTCCTTATCTGACTTGATTTACAGTCAACCAGACATCTGGGAACCAGGAGGAGCCTTATGTGGACTCTCCCCATACCAGGTAGGTCTGCCAGCCCTGTGGACTTTGACTTTGCAGGGATCCCTGAAGTGTCACAGTAGATCCTGGGAGAGACAAAACAGGCTGAGGGAGCCATGGCACTCCCACAGGACCATGTCCTCCTGTCTCAGAAGACAATATTGCATCTTGTCGTGGAGTTGCCCAAAGGGGTTCGCATGGCCTCTTCCACTCACTGCCCAAGAGATAGTCTTAGGGTTGACTCAGACCAAGTGGCCTTTATGTGGAATTCTGGAAGTCACCACAGTTTCCCTGGCTCACAAGAGGAGAGGGCCACTCTCTGGACTACATTCAATTTCTGTCCATGCAAGGGCATTCCATCTGTGGGTGGCACAAAAAGTGATCCATTGAGATCCCAGAGCCAGCCATCAGAAGGCAGAGGGAGCAGTCTGAGGAGTGGGGGTGAGAGAGCCAGAGTGCTGGGGTACAAGACCTCCTCAGCAGGTGTATCTGTCATCATCAAGATATCTGGGGAGTTGATGCCTGAATGGGTCTCAGGGGTGACCCACAGCTTCAGTGAGGCTCCTGGTGCTTCCTTCACTGGGGAGGCAGCCATGCAGGGTGTCAGAGGTCTTTGCTCCCTAGCAGGGCAGGCAGCTGTTTGCCAGAGGACATGTCCTGCCCATGTGTCTCTATCCCTGTGACTCAGTCTTCAGCTTGTCACCGCCAGTCCTCTCAGAGTCACCTTGTGACCAGGGAGTGGGACACCTGCTGGGGCCCATTTTTCCTCTAGCCACAGATGCACTGTTACTGCTTTGGAGGGCGGGCATGAGTTGGTGCTACTCACGTCCCATGTTTGTAAATGTGCCTTATCTCCACACTCCAGCAGGCCAAGTCTCAGGCTGGCCCAGCTGGAGCTTCTCAATGGCCTGCCTAAACCCAGAGTGGGACCCTGGTGGCCCTGTCCTATGGACAACATTGTGGAGGTGGCTTACGATGAGATCTGTGCCAGTGTCTGGAACCTCCAGCAAGAAGAATGCTTCTTCAGGGAAGCCGGCCTTGGCAGTGAGTACCTCTGGGGCAAGGTGATGCTTCGAGCCCCAGGGTTCTCCCCAGTACACAGCCACAGGTCTGCCTTGCAGCCACCAGCCCTAGCTGAGTAACAAGAGCACTGTGTGCTGGAGCAGGGCCCATGGCTTCATGGTAGGAAACACCAGATTACACAGCATGAACACATGTGGAATTTGGGGATCTAAGCATAGTACAGCAACTAGAGTTGGAGTCATGTGGTTGCCCAGAAACACCCCATTAGATAATACCACCTCATGCCCACAGCAGTGTATCCGACCAGCCAGAGGCTTGTCAGCACAATGAGTCTGGCTAAAAACGATGGATGAGACTAAGAGCCTTCAGCAGCAATCTCTTCACAAACTGCTGAAACTTTGTAACCGCTACCAGTTCTGGAAGAATACAGGAGAGTAGGAAAAGATAAACAGGAGCACAGGGCCCAAATGAAATGAACCCAAAAAGCAGAGGGTGTGAAAAACTCCAGTGGTCACTGAGGTCAAGACTGTGGTGAGGCAGTTAGAAATCGAGTTGAATTGATTGTCCATAACAAACCATGAGAAAAAGAAAACCCAAGACATCCCAGTGTGGAGCTGACACTTCCCAGCAAAATAGCAGAGGTCAGATGAATTGACACCCAGTTAATGAAAAATGTGCTGAAAAAAAGAGCAACAGATATCACTACTCACACGTTCTAGTACCTTTGAGTGATACTGCAGAGATATCTCTATGGAGATACGAGGCCTTAACACGTCTACCAATGACCACAGCATTCAGGGAAGCCCTGCCATTCGAAACACCTAGGAGTCCTGTGGGTATCACCAACCCAGCGACTGGCAGGGTAGGCAGGGAGAGTCAAGTATCCCACCTAGCCTGCCATTAGAATTGTGCGTGCCAGGGCTGAATGTTGCTTGTTGGCAGCACGGGGCAAAGATGGGCGCAAAAAACACACTAAGTTGGGGTATAGAGCGCAATAGAGACCCTGAAATGTAGTGGGTGATGGGCGGTCCGAAGACTACCCTGGCAGGCAAGCAAAGCCACTATCTAGATTAAGCGCCTATCTAAACGCCAGCTTCTGAGCCACCAAGACAACCACACTGGGGTATGTACACATCTAGGCTGTGCGTGGGTAAGCCTAGTCCTCAGTGGGGCCTCCCCTGTCTCATTCCATTTGCAGTCGGCCCGACGGCTCTGGATCGGGAGCGGCCTTCCCTAGGTCCTGCCCTGCCCAGGTAGGTCTCCAGACCCCGTGAAGGCCCCGCCCCGGGGCTGGGATCCCGGCAGACTTCCCCGCTATCCCGGGAGGCCCAGGGCTGGGCCGCGTGGTGCCCGCACACCCACTGCCCCCCTCGGCCCCGTGTGTCTGTGGGCCCGGTGGCAGCATGGCCTCCAAGCGTGCGAGTGACACGGAGGTGGCTGTGGCCTGCCCCCACCCCTGGGGAGGCCGTCCCGGGATCCGTGCGGACCCAGTGGCCCCCTAGGACGTCCTGCAGTCCCGGTGGCTGTCCCGCTTTCCACGCGGAGGCTGACCGGAGTCTGGCCCGCAGTCACGACCCAACCACATCACTCAGCCTTCGGTGGGCGGCACGGGGACGGGTCCTCGGGGAATCCCGGGCCACTCCACAGAGGCTGCGGAGGCAGACTGTGGTGGGGGAGGGGTTCTGACGGTGGCCAGAGGGCTGTCCCACCTCGACAAACCAGGTGCATTGGTGGTGCCAGGTGCGGCCTGGGCAGTCGATGCGTGCTGCAGAGCTCCTGCGAGGGTCCTGGAGTGCTTTGGGCGGGGTCAGAGCTCTGGGGTCCGAGTCCATTGTCTGCCTGGCCCCGGGCCCGGGCCCGGCCCGGCCGTGCCTGCGGCTCAGTCCGCGGCTGTCTCCAGCAACCCCTGCAGAGCTGAGAGCTGGCCTCTGGCGGGGGACGAGGACCGCCTCTGGGGCCCACGTGCCCATAGCCACGCACGCACTGGCTTCCCTGGGCCGGCAGGCAGGGCCCGGGGGTCGACCACCTGCCGCGTTGGTGACCCTGCTGTGGTTTTCCTTCCCACCCCAGCGGGCCCGAACTCGAGCTGCCCCGGCTGGGACAGTTCCCTGTCCCATGTGCAGCCATCGCGGGACCCCGTTGGCCGTGTCCTGCGGCCGGGCACGTGGCCGTGGCGTACCTCCAGGTCTGTGACAGCGCCTGGGGCCTCCGGCGGGAGGAATGCCACATCTTCCAGACCATAGACATGTTCGGTGAGTCCTCCCGGGGCAAGGTGTCCCCGCTGAGCCACTGGGGCTCATCCCTGGACAGCGTCAGTCTTCCTTCGCGGAGCCAGCCGCGAGGCTGAGTCCCGGGGCACAGGGCCGCCTGAAGCGGGGGGGCGGGTGGAGGGGGGGGCCGGCACACAGGGCCCAGGTCTTCTGAGACCCCATGGGTGGTGGGTGTGAATGAAGCATATCCACGTTCACTGCGGTGTCCGGGTCGGGCCTGCCTCTGGGGTGTGGGTCACACTGTTTGGCCCCGCCTGACACGCAGCCTGCCAGGTCCCGCGGGGCACGTCGTTGCGGCCCCAGAGGCTATTCCAGGGCAGGGCCAGCGCCCGCAAGCCTGCGCGCTTCAGGCTGGCTAGGAAGAGGGGGCCACGCCAGCAGCCTTCAGCCTGCTTCCTTCCCAACCCGCAGACAGCCCCTGAAAGCCGCAGCTCCCAGCTGTGGCAAGCAGACAAGTGGTCCCTGGCTTTCGCATCAGCTGGCGGAGCGCCGAGCACCAGAGCACTCTGGAATGCTCTGCGTGCCCTGGGTGTTCCGTGTGCCAGGGGGAGGCCTGAGTCGCCGGCCTCGACGCCTCTCCCAGTGACCACAGCATTCTGGGAAGCCTGGCAATTGAGAGACCCAGGGATCCGGTGGGTGTTGGGTGTCCCCTTCCCAGCGACTGGCTGGCCTGGCAGGGAGAGTCCACTGACTTGTCTACGCTGCCATTGGAGTTGTTTGCCAAGATCAGGGTTAGATTTCTGCTGTCCGCAGCCCAGGGCATAGATGGGCGCCCCAGGACAGTGAGCTGGCCTTGGACTTGTTTGATTTCCTCGAGTTTGAGTCAAACTGTTTGTCCCTAATACACACCCTCCCAGTTCCAGGCGTGTTTTAGTGGCCCCAGTTGCTATTCCAGGTCAGGTGGGTGAATGCTTCTGTTTTTCGTACTCGGTTATTCCTTTGGCCTTGAGTGGCGTTTTGGAGTTCCCACCAGCAGACACCTGGTCTCTGTCTTTCCTGTCTGCTCGCCTAGCACGTAGCACTGGAGCTTTGTTGTACCCTCTGAGTGCGCTGGTTGTTCTTGGGCAGGCATCAGGTGTGAGTCCCTGGCCTTTATACCTCCTTCAACTAGCACAACATTCTAGTTTCCTTGGCACTCGGGACAGCCAGGGGACCAGTGGATGTCCCTTCTCAGTGACTGCCAGAGCCAACTTGGAGAGTCCCACAGGACAGAACCAACAGGGACCATTCAAATTGTTTGGATCAGGGCTGAATTTTGGGTGTTTGCTGCCCAGTGCAGAGATGGGTGTCCTCAATGTGACCTTCCATGTTTGATTTTTTTTTTTACAAGCAGCCCGATGGCTCTAGATCGGGATCAACCTTTCCTACAACCTCCCCTGCCCAGGTAGGTCTACTGACCCTGTGAACACAGATATATCTGGGATCCCAGCAGACTTCCTGCAGATTCTGTGAGGCACATTGATTTGGTTTGTGATTTGATCACACCTTCCTTTGCCCACATCTTTTTGTGTCAGGTGGCAGCATTTCTTCCCTGTATGGCTCTCTCCACTGAGGTTCCTTTTGCTTCCTCCGTCTGTCTCGTGGAGGTGGTCCTGGGGTCTCTTCAGACCCAGTGTGCCCTAGGGAATTCCTCCATCTGGGTGACTGTCCTGGTTTGCACATGGAGACTGAGCTTCTTCTGGGCTTCAGTCACTTCCAGTTACCATCACTGCATTCCTTCCATGGATGCTGCACTAACGTAAACTAGGAGATTCTTGTTCCAATCAACAAAGACCTAGAAAGCTTCCTGCGATGTGCGAGGGAATGGAAGTCCGTTAGCCCAGGGCACACTTACTCCTCAGTGAGCGAATTTGTCATTTTGTGGCCTCGGGACTTGATCGTTTCCCCACATTTGGTGACCCACAGCTCCTGTGAAGGAGGTCCTCGGGCTTCATTTGAGAGTTTGGGCATCAGAGCCTCAGAGCTCTGGGTTCCAAATTTCTGGTCTCTCTGGTCCTCTCTCTCCCTGTGGTTCATTTTCCAACTTCTTTCTGCTAGCCCTCGGGGAGCTGCTCTGTGATCAGACAGAAGACCACTGCTAGAGGGACCCCATTTTTACTTTAGCCATGGATGCACCTAGTCTCCCACGGAGGGCAGACACGGGTCAGCCATAGTCCACTTTCTGAATTTGTGAACCTGATGTGCCTTGCCACCCCAGCAGGCCAGAACTCGTGGTGCCCCAGCTGGAGCAGTTCAATGTCCTATGTGAAGCCAACGCAGGTCGTCCCTGTTGGTTGTGTCCTGTGGTCAGTCTCATGGTCAGCCACCAGTTTTGTTCTGGCATCTCAGACTTCAAGCATGAGGACCAGCTGTGCCGTGCCGTTGGCCATGATGGTAGTACTCCCATGGAAAGGTGCTCCTTTGAGCCTCACAGTGTCTCTCTAGTTCATAGCCATGTGTCCACCCTGCTGCCGCTTGTCCTGAATCAGTATGGGAGAATGTGATGGGCTGAAGCAAGGCACCGTGCTCAATGGTGTGAGTCCCCAGCTTGTAGCATCTGGAGTATCTCTGTGGTCAGTGCGGGTCTGCTGGTTGGTTCAGCCCCTGGACTTTGAGTTATACCTGTATCCCCTGAGATCTCCACCATGAGTTCATTTCATGTCATGTCATCCTATGCACCTCCTCCATCAAGAGTTGTGGAGTTGTGAGGCCCAAGGCCTCTCCTGTGTGACATTCATGCACTGGTGTCTCTCACTTGGTTGATTCCTTGATTCTTAGGTCTTGCCTGGCTCCACTTGACTGTGCTCTCAGGTCATGGTACCCAAGGCAGGTGAAGCAACATCACACTGGCCTCTGGGCCTCCCACAGGTGAGGCACCATTGAGGTACCTGTCTGGACTGTGGTGTAGGAGCAAAGAACATATGTGCCAATTGCTGTCTCCCCTGAGATTCATGCCCTGGATGGCACTCCCTTCTGGCCATGGTCCCAGGTGTCCTCATCCACCTCTGGCTCCTAGAAATCCCTGAAGCAAACCATGTGGATGACTAAGCTCATGAATCCTCTAGAAAGCTTACCCAATCGTCAGTGTTCCACCACCCACCACCAGGCTCTGTGTTTAAACCCTCGGCCTGAGAGGGCCTGTTGATGTATAAGGTTTCTGGGTGGCTCCAGAAGTCCCAGTGGACCAGAGGCTCTATAGACTTGATGGCTCTGTTTAGTGGCAGTATACACACACAAAATGGTGTGCCACCGGCACCTGAACACCGGATAGGAGAGGACTGGATTTCAGCCTTGCCTCCCGGAGGCCACTGAAGCTACTGGTGGTTGTGACATGGGGGGGTGGGGGGTTCTTAAGGTAGTCTAAGGGTTTGCACAGACCCAGGACAGAGTAAGTGTACGTGATATCCTGCCAAAACACAGAGAAACTAAGAGAGTGGGATCCCCTGGCTCCCAGGAAGGTAGACTAGCTGGTGTCTTTATGGTTTACCCTTTTGTGGTCCTCACTGTGGTAAAACAGGTTAAGCCACCACCTACAACACTGGCATCCCATTGGGTATCAGTTTGTGTCCCAGCTGCTTCAACTTCAACTAATGGCCGCTCTTTCTCTCTCTCTCTCTCTAACTCTGCATTTCAAAAAATAAATAAATAAATAAATCTTTAAAAAACAAAAAAACTGGCTGGCGCCGCAGCTCAATAGGCTAATCCTCTGCCTGCGGCGCCAGCACACCAGGTTCTAGTCCCAGTCAGAGCGCCAGATTCTGTCCCGGCTGCTCCTCTTCCTGTCCAGCTCTCTTGCTGTGGCCCGGGAGTGCAGTGGAGGATGGCCCAAGTGCTCCCTGCATCTGCATGGGAGACCAGGAGAAGCACCTGGCTCCTGGTTTCGGATCAGCGCGGTGTGCTGGCCACAGCACACCGGCCGCAACAGCCATTGGGGGGTGAACCAACGGAAAAGGAAGACCTTTCTCTCTGTCTCTCTCTCTCACTGTCCACTCTGCCTGTCAAAAACAAACAAACAAAAAGACTTACCTTTTTTTGCCTCCCTTGATATTCCTGAATCAGACACTCACTCTCCCAATGCATGTAAATTTACCTGTAGCATTCCAGTCAGACACTGTGTGACACAGTTACTTGTACTGGGATCTTAATGTGCCTTTTACTGTCTGATTTTTATTTGTAGTGTACCAGATGTATGAAGAGAAGGTAGCAGGTTATCTTGGTCCTAACAAACCCAAGTAAGTCTCCAACTTCTGTTACTGCTTACTTTGTTTCAACACTTGGGGAATCTAACTCCAGGGAGAAAACAGCATGTGTTGGGGTGACTCACCATAACCCCTAAGCCCATAGCCGAATGTTTGTAGGAACAAAGTTATTCCTTATCATGTGAGCGACCTGCAAGTTTCCATTGTTTTCCCCACTCTCTCCCTTGGATTAACTACAGGGCAAGCGCAGGTCAACCAGCCTACTCAGGGAGTTTGGTCAGTCCTGGCCACTGCCCTGCCACACTCAAGGCAGGGTGATCCCTTTCTGCCCTCAGCTTGTTGCCCATGTGTATTTTTGCCTTCCACTGATAACACAAAATGAGATGGGACCTGACCTCGTCAGATGGTGGGCAACAGGCTGGGGTGAGAAACCTGGGGTGCTAAAGCACCTCCTCAGCAGGTGCATCTTTGTGACTGAAGCCTGCACACTTCATGCCTTCATTGGTTTCTCACATGACCAGTAGTAGGTTCTGTTTGGCTCATTAGTATCAGTGGAGAGGGTGCCAATGGTGGGTGGCACAGCTTTTTTCCTGAGTAGCTCACTGCCCCTGTCCCTCAGTCTCGGGCTCTGTCTGCACTCCCACTGTGAGGCTTCAGCTTGATCAAGCAGTGAGCCACTGGATGGGCTCCCTTTCCTTTGGTGACAGAACCTTTGCCCTGCTGTTTAAGCCAGGAAGGTCGTGGGAAGATTGCTCCTTTTGTTAATTTCTTATTCCCTTCTGCACCTCCAGGGTCTGTCTGAAGCTGCCCAAACCAGAACAGCCTGAGTTCCTGCTCAGCCCAGTGGCGTGTCCATATCCATCTTTAACCATGCCATCACTTGTGGATTGCACCTGCCGCACTGCTGGCAGTGACTGGGGTCGTGTGCAGGTGCCACACTTCTGCCTGTTTGTTTCTGCTAGTAAGTATTCCCAAGGAAATTTGGCCAAGTTCATAATGATCTCCCTGTGTGAAAACAGGACATGTACCCTACACAGTTCTCCCCTTGCCATTCAGTGTAGTTTTGCACACTGAGCCTAAGGCACATTGTGTTCAGGGAGTTGTACGATAGAGTTAAGGCACCATCATCATTTAGTCTGCAGCCATTGCTTCCTGTTTGTCCAAATTCATGTACACATCACCCAGTATTTACTCTCATGTCTGTACTTAAATCCCTCCTCTCCTTTCAGGTGGCACATTGAAGGCTTGTCCTCAGAAACACTTGAATGGAATACTAGGTTGTCACCTGTCGAAGGTGCCAGTCTCACATGCAGAGTTGTGGGTGAGACTACAGGGATACACCTGTCTTCAAGTCCCAGTGGATCCGCAATTAGCCTCTGGTAGCAATGAGGCCAGGCATAGTGATTCCTCCAGCACCTGCAGCTTTGCAGAAAACATCGATTCAAGAAACCAGTTGTTGTTCCACAAAGGTAAGAAAGAAAAGGGCACAGGAAGCTTCCATTGATACATGGATTTTCACTGTGTATGGGTGAAGGAGACAATTCAGACCCCGTCGTGTTCTCTGAGGGTGAAGTTGAAGTCTGCAGTGCTGTAACATGGTAAAGTGAGCCAATGCCTGATTTTAAGCATCCGCTCTGCCTCCAGGTCATCGGCTTCCCAAATATTTTATGTTGAACTTGGCCAAGTTACTTATCACTGGCATTTATATCTCATCCCCCATTTCAGACTGTGCTATTATTAAGCACCATAATTTCCAGAGTGACTGGCTAAGAATAGCTCAGTATCCTCTTTAGGTGTTTAGTGACTCGTTGTTTAATTTGCATATAGTTGAAGACTAACAAAGTGATCTTGTACTTTTGTTCCACGTGCAAATCAACCATGTTTGTAGTGTAACTTCCCAGGGACTGTCTTTGATAAGACAAGTGACTGACTTACTTTCCCTCCCTCCCTCCCTTCCCTTTTCTATTTATTTTTCCTTTCTCCCTCTGTTGCTCTTTTTTCTCCCTTCTATCTTCCTTCCCTCCCTCCCTTCTTTCCTTTCTCTCTCTCTCTTTCTCTCACTCTCACTCTCTCTCTTTCCTTCTTTCTCTTTCTCCTTTCATTCTTGCTTCCTCAACATTCCCTTCTAAGCCAATTTTCCTCTGTCAGACACTTTCAGCCACAAGGTGAGAGCCATATTCTTGTCAGTGTACATTCTAGGCCCTCATCTTGGTTTCCTGATTAATTCAACTTATTTTCTGGTCCCCTCTCTTTTTTAAATGAACAGGAGCCTTCATACATGAAGTGATCAGGCTCGTTTCTGACTCTTCTGGAATTTATCAGCTCCGCTCATCTCCATAGCATGTCCCAGTTTCTTGCCCACAGTGATCCACTTCTGCTCAGATTTCCTTACAACTGAGCCTTGGACCCTCCTGCCCATCCTACCTGGATCCTGTCCATCCTTTTCCCTGCCTCTATGGTTGCCTGTGGCTTATGTCTGCTGCAGCCTACCTTCTAGAAAGGAGGGGAATGGTGTGCTCAGGAGGAGGAATATGTCTCATGTGACAGTGACCACCAGTTGACTCTTTGGGAGAGGGCTCCTGGCCAGTGCTCAGTGAGAGGCAGGCATACATACTCTCTGCCACATGTGCCATGATACCTTGTCCCTCCCAACTCCTCTTTTCTTCCCCTGATCTTTTACTTCTCCTTGGATTCTCACAGTACCAGCACAGCTCACCCAGTGGCTCAGTCACTCTCTTCCTGTTCACACTCAAGGTCACTCCGTTCCTGTTCACATTCAAGGGATAATTGGCTGAGCAATGGTAGGTTCAAGGCAAGACTTTGCAGTCTAGGGTGCTTTGAAAGGGCTTTGCAGATTTTGACACCAACCATACTGTGCTTTCTATCTGGTGCATAGCAGGTTGTGTTACTGACAACATATATTTCTCTCACTCTTCCTAAATCTTTTTTTTTATTTCCAACCTATTGTGAAAGCTGTCAGAATGCAGGAGCCCAAATTTCCAAAACCCCAGTTAAGGTCATTTTTTGATATAGTATGTACACACACACATGACACTGAGAGTGCTTCAGGATGTTCATGGAATGCCATGGGTGTTGTGGCATAGTGGATAACTACCCCTTTGGGCTGTCCATATTCTTTGTCAGTGTACCTAGGTACAAATTTGTCTTCTGTCTCTGATCCAGCTCCTTGCTACTGTGTACCCTGGGAGGCAGCCTGTGATGACTCAGTTAGTTGGGTGCCTGCCCTTGATGTGGGAGGCTGAGATAATGTTCCTGGCTCCTAGGTTTGGCCTAGCCCATTCTCAGCTGTTGCAGATATTTGGGGAGTGAAAAAGTACATGGTTGATTCCTCCCTCTCACTCTGACATTCTGTGTAACTGTCACTCTTGGATTTTCATTGAAATGAAAATAAATGGGGCCAGTCTTGTGGCGTAGTTGTTTAATCCTCCACCTGCAGTGCCAGCATCCCATATGGATGCTGGTTCTAGTCCCATCTGCCCCTTTTCCAATCCAGCTCTCTGCTATGGCTTGGTAAAGCAAGATGGTCCAAGTGCTTGGGCCCCTGCTCCCACATGATAAACTGGGAGCAACCATCTGGCTCCTGGCTTTAGACAGGCAAATCTCCAACCATTGCTGCCATCTGAGGAGTGAACCAATGGAAGGAAGACCTTTCTCTGTCTCTCCCTCTGTCTGTAACTCTCCCTCTCAAATAAAAATAAATAAATAAATACATCTTTTTTAAAAAGAAAAAGAAAATAAATGTTTAAAAAGATGTTCATGGAAAATGGAATTAAACATGAGTTCTGTATGTCACAGAAACTTTTTGAAATCCTTGCATTGTGTGGTCATAATATGCATTTCCATAAACTTTCTAAAGAACACTCCAAAATATATTTGTCCTTGTATGTTCCTGAATTCCATGATATATATCATATTATTTTCAGTAATGTTACATATAATATGCTCATATGAAGTGTATAATGATACATGTTTTTCATCTTCTCCAATTTTCCTTATAATTTTGCTCTTGTGGGTTTTCCTATGACTTTTATATAACTCGATTTTTAGGTGACATCTCCATTCCTAGTAGCACAACCTCTGTCTAGTATGATTAGCCCTTGCTTTTGTCCTATGAATCTGAGAACTATTTGTTTTCATTTGCTCCAATTTTCTTAATTTTTTTTTGTCAAATAGCAGTAGGTTTGCCTATTGGCAATCTTATCCTGAAATCATTTCTAAGGCAGGCCAATGATAAGAAAATGCAAAAGCATCTCTATTGGCTTCCCTTGCCCCTTGGACTTTCTTGTCCAAGGTCACTTTGCTTATCCAGTGTCCACCTTGGTGGAAGTGTGTGTCAGAATAAGGTCATATTGGCTGGCGCTGCGGCTCACTAGACTAATCCTCCACCTGCGGCGCCAGCACCCCAGATTTTAGTTCCGGATTGGGCACTGGATTCTGTCCCGTTTGCTCCTCTTCCAGTCCAGCTCTCTGCTGTGGCCCAGGAAGGCAGTGGAGAACAGCCCAAGTGCTTGGGCCCTGCACCCGCTTGGGAGACCAGAAGGAAGCACCTGGCTCCTGGCTTCAGATTGGCACAGTGCACTAGGGGTGAACCAATGGAAGGAAGACCTTTCTTTCTCTCTCTCTCTCTCTCTCTCTCTCTCTCTCTCTCTCTCTGCCTAACTCTGCCTGTCAAAAAGAAAACAAAAGAATAAGGTCATATAACAGTGGATATTGTTGCCTGTGGTTTCATTTGCAGTGCCTGTTACTGATGGCTATCTTGCGAGCAATCCCAAGCAGGATAATACCACTGAGGGGTCAGCTACCAGCAGCCATGCAAGCCAAGTCAGTGTCCACCCTGTGGGCTCCGATGTCCTAAGAAAAGAGATGATCCAAAGAAAATGCCATTTTAGCAAATGGAGATTATCATACCGTATCCCTGGATTTCGACTTGAGGTGCAGAGGTAATCACAACTGTTATTCTTAGATGCATTTATTCTGTATTGCTCTCTCTATATATGAGTGCTTTACCTCATTTCCCTCCCCCCAATTTTTTCTTTCCCTGATTTGTTCTCTCCATCATCTGCAGTAACTTCTGTCTAGTCTTCCTTCTATTTTCCATTTGTAATGGCAGGGGAATGTGCCCTGGTTCTTGATTTCTTTCAATATAGAGATAGGGAAAGAGTCCAAGATGCAAAGTCGTAGTATTTTATTAGGCCAGTGAGAGAACAAAGGGAGGTGGGAGAAAGCTGCAGAGCTAGATGTCCAGTAGGGGAGTGTAATCATGGGTCTCTAATAGGTACCCTAACTTCAGTTTCATCTGTGTCACTGGTGTGGCCACCAGGACATGGGTGTGGGAGTCACTGGGCTGTGATCTACCTGGGAAGGGGCTGTGGTAGGAGGGGTCCAGCCATTCCATGCATTTTTTGAGCACTGAAGGCACATGATTGGTAGAGGCCTGGTGAGCATGCAAAATGGGAAGCATCATAAGTGGGGGAGAAGGGAAATTCACCAGCTTCCAGAGCATGCCTGTCCCTGCCTAAATCCTCCTATCATTACACATGAATTGCCAACCAGTCACTGTCATTTGCATCTCCTTGGCTGTACTCCAAGCTCTGCTCTTTCCCCATAGCTGCTGTCCTCATTATCCCACTCACAGACCTAGAGTCAAGTTTGCCTTCAGATCCAGTGTTCAAGGGATTACCATGACCCAGTAGCCACACTTCAGGGACACACTCAAGCTACAATGAGGCAGACTTCATTAGATGGTACAATAAAGAGACATTGGTCAAAAGGTAAACTTAAGGGAGGGTGTTATGGCACATGCAGTCAAGCCACGGCTTGGGATGCCTGCATCCGTATTGGTGTGCTGCCTCAAACCCTGGCTACTGTACTTGCAATCTAGCTTCATAGTAATGGTTCTGGGAAAGACATGGATGATGACCCACATATTTGGGTCCCTGCCCCCTAGTTCTGCACTCCTAACTAGTGAATCAGTATATTTAAGTTCTTTCTCCCTCTGTTTCTATTCTTTCACTCTTTGTCTTTCCTTCTGTCACTTTGTCTTTCAAATAAATAAATGAATGCTTTAAAAAAGACAACCCTCTAATATTCACACAAAATATTATTTTCTAAATTAGACATAAGCACAGGGCTTCAAAAAATGTGTAGAGCAAGACAAGCTTAGACATTCTGACTTCTCCTACTAGTTTTGGGTCTGGTTTGCCGCAGTTTTTCTAGATCCTTGAGATGCATTGATAGCTCATTTGTTTGGTGCCTTTCTAATTTCTTGATGTAGGCACCTATTGCTATAGACTTTCCTCTTAACACTTTTTTGCTGTATCCCATAAGTTTTTTTTTTTTTTTTTTTTTTTTTTTTTTTTTTTTTTTTTTTTTTGACAGGCAGAGTGGACAGTGAGAGAGAGAGACAGAGAGAAAGGTCTTCCTTTGCCGCTGGTTCACCCTCCAATGGCCGCCGCTGCAGCCGGCGCACCGCGCTGATCCTGGCAGGAGCCAGGAGCCAGGTGCTTTTCCTGGTCTCCCATGGGGTGCAGGGCCCAAGCACCTGGGCCATCCTCCACTGCACTCCCTGGCCATAGCAGAGAGCTGGCCTGGAAGAGGGGCAACCGGGACAGAATCCGGCGCCCCGACCGGGACTAGAACCCGGTGTGCTGGCGCCGCACGGTGGAGGATTAGCCTATTGAGCCACGGCGCCGGCCCCATAAGTTTTGATATGTTGTGTTGTTACCTTCATTTGCTTCCAGAAAGTTTTTGATTTATCTTTTGATTTCTTCTA